CTCGGCGACGCGACGCGACGTTCCGTTTCGTGCCACTCTCGCGCGCTCACCGGAGAAACAGGCGACGATTTACGATCGAACCGGCCACGGTATTGAGAGCGATCCATTTTTCGCCCGGCGAACCTTACTTTAAACTTCCAACACTGATCGTATCTTTCCGAAGAAGAGAGAGGGAGGGGTAGGGTTGACGACGAGGGGATGAGGTTGAGTACTTATAGGATAGGGTAGGAAAGAGAGAAAAAGAGAGAGGGAGAGAGAGAGGGAGGAGACACAGAAAGATGAAAGAAGGAAGAACAGGGGGCGGTTGAGAGGAGGAAACGAGGAGAGAAGAGCGAAGAGGAGAGAAGGCGATCGGAAAGGGTGTCGGCCGACAGCTCGCGTTTACGAAACGATTGGTTTTTTGCGACGATGGCCGGCTGGCTTTTCATAACGGCTTCGTGAATCGGTAATTGCGAGAAATAATCACGCGAGCGGCTCGTACGAGTTCGTGCAGCCGTCTGTGCTCGTCTCTGCGTACATATCCTTTTCCCCTTCGAATTAATTCCGAAGAGGAATCACGGCCAGAAGAATAATTGTAATTAGCGCCGAGTTCGCGCGGACAGGCACCGTGATTTTACTGGCGGATAATCTTAACGACGTTTCGTACGATCCGGTGACCACGATAATTTACGATCGAACGACGATATTAAAGAACCGTTTTCCGCGCCTACCGGGGCTCAGGAAGATGCGAGAAGGGCTCATGATGATGCGCGCGCGAAGACAAGCCGGACGCGAAGACGATCGTCAAACGAGAAATTAAATTCCGCAGGTAGATAGAAAACGACCCGGTTCCTCAGCTCATTTGTAACGCCTTGTTTCGACTGGTTACGAGCGGACGGAACGCGCGTATGCGTTTACACAGCACCCGTTTAATTAATTAGTCTTTTAAGCGTCGACCGAATTGCCAATCGACGATCCAGATGAATTTTACGCGAATTCTCGTGGTTTCTTATCCCGTTTTACGCTCGTTTCGCGGCTCGACATTTTGCGTCGCCCCGATATTCAACAAAGCAACTAGCGCCGTTATAACACCGGTTTCTTTGTATTTATCGCCATGTCGGTCGATTAACGAATTAAATTGTAACTTCTTCGCGCTCGGCGTTGATACATGGGTGATTCCAGAGAGGTTATTCATCCGGTTTATATATCCGAGATATAAAAATACACGCGGAATATATTATTGAGCAACTCGAAGTCGATCGAGCGTACCAAGTTTAAAGTATTCGGAGATGTTTCGATGGCGTTGAATTGAACATAAGAAAGCCGGTCGGAAGTCGAATCGGGGAATAACGAGGCGAGTTCGTTTCGGAAGATATGTACGCGGTCAGGGAATGTACACGTGTCGCGAGTAATTTGGTCCTGGCAACAGAGAAGGAGACGCGAGGACGAGGCAGTTTGCGAACGATGAGATGCATCCGTTGGGATCGTTTGGCAAGCGCGAGCGGTGCGAAACCTACGCGTTCTGCCCGTTCTGGAAATCGCACGGACGCGCATTCTGCGCTCGTTTCGTGTCAAAGCTATCGAAGATGCCGTGAAAACGAAAGTAGCCGATGCACAGAAAGAAATGCGTCGTGTCGTTGCATCGACGCGAGGCTAGAACCGGTTCTGAACGAGTTCTGCCATCGAGTCCTCTATATTCTTTCGTATATACGAAATTGCCCCGTGGAAAAGACCGATCGTTCGCGCGAGGCAATAGATAATCGTTATAAAAATCAAGGAGCGCGATTCCTTCTGGTAAGTGCCTGGAGGAGGAAACGAGATCGATGAATGAAAATCGTCCGATCCTTGAACGAATCGACCGACTCGACCGTCTCGTGCAGATCATTGCGACGATAAACGCAGCGGATATCTTGGTTCACGCGTAATCGACGCGACGCGTCGATATCTCCCTTCGAAGTAGTTGGATCGATCTTCGGAACGAATCACGCGTGAAACGATTTCGTTTCGACGACACGAAGGCAACGAGCTGGAGCGGCGCAGCTCGGTGTTCACGAAAATCCACGAAAGCAGAAAGCGGGCAACGGACGAACCTGACCGGTACCTGTCTCGAAACTCGCAGGGTGTGGCTATAAATTCAGCCGGATAGGAACGAGATACTTAGGTTATCCACGAGTAACGGAAAATAAATCCTGCGCTGCCTGTTCCCGGACGACGAACGGACACGAAATCCAATTAGCTGCGCATACTTCGATTAAATATTGTCCTCGTTTAATTAGTCTAAACGTTTCGCGGTGGTGTCGCGCAATATTTACGCGCTCGTATATCCACGCGTCCCCCCTGTTAACAGGGACTGACGCATCGGCCTTCTAGCTTAGCTGCTAGAAGATTCTAATTAGCGTCCGACGCTCGACGACCACGAACCGACAACGACCACGGACATCGTTCGTTACGCTACAATAAAGGACAGATAGGAGCGAGAGTGACCGGCGAGGAGACACTTAACCCACGATCGGTGGAAACAAAGTGGCCGACACTCGAACAGATGAAGATACCTGCCAACTACCGGGGCCCCGCGACGCGAGATATACCTGCTAACGTCTCGAAATACCTGCTGGGTGTGGCAGTTAAATGTAGCGGATAGTCCCGGCGAATATCCGGAGCGCCACGGTATCGGTCAGGGCACAGAAGTCGAGAGCGTACCGATCACCACGGACGGATATTGAAGGTTCAACGAGAGCACAGCAGCTCTTCGCTAAAAGACGTACTGTTGGCAACATATTGAAACCGGTTCTGAACGAGTATGGCTGGTAGCTGACCGTCGTTCCGTCTGGCAAGTGTAAACCACGGAAAGGATTTCTGAATATACCAGTAGTTGGCTGCAACTCGGACACCTATTCGATGGTCATTCGTTGCTCGTTGATCGCACACCACCTTATCATCGGATTCTAAGGCTCCGTGGAAAGGTCGACGGTCCGTTTAAATTCTTCTGCGATGCTTCTCGTTTCGTGCTTTGCATCCTCGACGAACCGGGAACACGATTTCGCGGTTGGCGAATCGCCGCGACAACGATTCCGTAGGCGTTCGCGAACGCGTTATGATTGGTGTCGAACGTTCCGACCTGTTCTTTGCCTTTGATCGGTCAATTAACATTCGCCGGGTAAGAATAAGCTCGTCGTACATCCGCGACAACTCGTCGTAAACATCCTCGTTCGGTGTGTATCATATAGAACGCATTGCGCTCTAACTTATTCCACGAAAATGCTATTTCTGATACCTCGTCGCTCCGATCGACCGTCGTTCTACGCATTTCGCGCTATGGTAATAGAAAATACGCCTATCTCGGATAATTTGTGTCAACTCTCGACGATTTTCGATTCGATCATTTAGCTGTCGCGCCGATAAACGTCGTATGACATTTCCTGTGCGATGTTTATTCGCGAGAAAATATCTCTGTACAGATTCACGATTCTGTTTCCTTTCGACAAAGTCGATGTAAACCGATCGATATCTGATTGACGTGTAACGAGTAATCGTGTAAAGCGGAACCTGGATCACGAAAATTGGTGGTAATTTTGGGTGCGCGATTTTTCGAGCGTTTAAACGCTCGTTTAAAATACCGAGAGGGGCTCGGCGGCCTCGGAGGAAGATACGATCGTGGACAGGGGAAAGATCGTATCATCCCTTAAGAATCGTTGGCCTACCTACCATAGAGTCCGGATTTCGACACCTGGAGCACCATGAAACGACGTTTTTACGCTCGTTTAACGCGATTTAGATTGCCACCTTTTTTCCCTTCGCGATATAGAAGAGCAAAGGACACGCGCGACGCGTCCATGGGAAGATGATATTTCTCGAAAACTTCGTTTCGACTTAAATAATAAATTTCGGCTTAAATGAATAGAGTCGAAGCACGATGATCATCGATAGAAGAGAAGAAAAAAGCAATCGATAACGTGCAATCGGTTCCTCCGGTTTTTGCGAATTCGTGTCAAAGGCGGCGAGGATACAGTTTACAAAATACCATAAGAAGGTGCTAGTGGAAGAGAGCAAAAAATATGGACACTGCTAGCGTTGTTCGATTGTAACGCGGTACGTCGCAAAGAGAAACGGTTGTCCAATTAAATTCAATCATCGCGGTTTTGTCCGGCTGAAAACCATCCGCGCGAACCCAGCGGTGTCTCGGTTTGTTTGCGTTCCATGAAAATTTTCAGAGCGAGACGAACCGAAGCGTAACGCGAACGTTTCATCGATTATCCCGGTGTGTCTCGATTATATCGCGAGACGCGGTGTATTCAAGTGTTCGAGTCGCGCAATTTAACGAAGAGACGCTCGATCGAGCTACGTGATGCACGATTAATTGCTCGTTATCACTCTGACAAAATTAATTACTTTGTTCCCGCGTTCGAGTTTTATCTCGAGCCAGCCCCGATCCTATTAGAATCGCACGATTTCATTAAACGCGCATTGTTTTCGCAATTGTGACGGCATCGAGTCACACGCAAATATCTTCGACTTTGTTAGTATTGACGAAACGATATTCAAATGGTGAATATCGTGCGTCAACTGTGTAACGTGCTTGCCAACGGTATATAGTAACGTGGTTCGAAGGATTTTATGCAAAAAGAAAAAGAGTGAACCGTATTGGAGAAGGCAAAAAACAAAGGGGATGGATGTGGAGGCAAACTGACCGTCGATCAAAGACACTGGAGGCACGGTCATCTGTTGATGGTGATGCGCAGCTGGATGCTGATGATGGTGCGGTGGATGGACCTGAAACAGATGCGACCTCGTCTGCGAGAAGGTCGGCGAGGGTGGTTCCCAAGGACGCGTGACGCCGGTGCTGACGGGTGCATCGTCGTCGTGACAGCAAAATTTGTCGGTCGCCGCTGCGGGGCCGCTGGCGCAGTTCACCACCGCGTGACCTTCGTTGTTATTGTTGTTGTTGTTGTTATTGTTGTTTGCAACGTCCCCGTTGTTGTTGTTATTGTTATTATTGCCGCCAGCGTTGTTGCTGTTGGTTATACGTGTAGTAGTCGCGCCTGTCGCAGGACTACCACTACCACTAGCACTGCCACTGACACTACCACTGCCAATGCCGTCGACCTGCACCATTTCGCTGTCGATCGCAGCCGCCGACTTGGCAGTACCAGGAGGGGTCGCGACGCCGCCACCGATCATCATCACCAGACGATCACCTCCACCCCCTCCACACCGGGCACCAGCTCCTCCTCCTCTTCCTCCCCTTCTGCCTCCACTTCTGTAGCTACACCGTCCCTATGGTAGAGTCGTTTCTCTTCCTGCCTTCGTATCCGACGGATGCTCGCCGTTTCCTGCACCCGACGTTTCCTGATCTCTCTTCTCGCACCCCTGTCTTCCCGTGTCTTCTTCTCTCGGGGAAAGAAGTTGGCCGATATACTCGAGATGTCGCAGGTCGACGTCCGTAAAGATCGTAGCGATTTTACGCTGAATTTGGACGAGTTTCGAATCACCAGTTCCAGTGTCTTACCGAGGCACGAGTGTCATCACGACGTTCTCGAGTCAGAGCAGATAGCACACCGACAACGGATCCTACGTATAGGTGGATGAAAAGCGAACCGCGGAACGAAGGACAACAGTCTTCCGGCACGTACGGCCCCGGACGTTCAACGACGGCAACGAGGTCGGTCCTCGTGCACGCTTAGCCACTCACGGTGTCACAAGATGCGGCGGTCGGCGTGTGTATCGCGCTGGCGCAGAAGCGCGCGAGCGCAATCGACGCCAGGGTCCGGCGTGGTTTCCTGCGTTCGATTAACGAAGCTGAATGACATCCTGTCTGACGGTCCGTCGGCGAACGCGATTCATCGCAACGCGAGCTTTCACGTCGGCTGTCGCGTCTACGTGGACGAGGTCGATGCGAGGAGGTAACGGCGAGAAGTGCTCGCGAGCGCAGGCGCTTCGTCGAAGCTCGTGACTACCTATAGACGTGTGCCCTTCTCTACCTTCCCACCCTCCGCCTCTCTTCGCTCGCTCCTTCTCTCCCCTTTCTCTCTCGCTCTACCGCTGTCTTTCGCTCCGATTCTCGCTCTTCTTTCTCTCGGGTTCCACGCTTCTCTGTTTCTCCTTCTGTCCGACCCGTGCTCCCTTCTCCAATAACGACCGACGAGCTACGCGCTACCACGGGATAACCTGCTCGCGCTCCGCCGGATTCGAGCAGATTGCCTTCCGTTCGGGCTGTCGAAGCGCGCCAACGACTAGCTTCACCCCCACCCTCTAGAGCCTCGCGGGAACAGCGACGTCTACTCGCATCCAGCTGACATCCAGATTTCAGGTAACGACAGTCTTTCTACTTGTCCTTCGATTTCGACCTCGTTCGCTCTATCGCTTCGGTCTTCCGCCTCTGTCCTTAAAACGAGCCTCTATGTAAGTACATACATTCGTTAGACTTTTCTCTTCATTGGTAGCATCTTCCGGCTGCGATCGATGTCTGTCTGAGATATAGTAGTCGGTTCCGGTTGCTTCTCTCTGGTAACGCCATGGATCGAGGCTCGAACACCTCTCGGACCATTCACTTGACAGTAATTTCGGACACGCGATTCCTCTTGATTTCGGTCGTCTTGCACGATGACCGGTCCACCTTTTTTTCGTAACCTTCGACTCGAGCGCGAGTAGGAAAGTTACGTACCAAGAAGCCAGTGTGGGAGAACGTAGAAAAAAAAAGGAGAACGATGTAACACGAGTACACGGGGTAACCTGCTCGCGGTCCGCCGGATTCGAGCAGATTGCCTTCCGTTCGGTGGCTCGAAGCGCGCCCAGACTAGCCTTACCCCCACCCTCCAGACTGTTGAGTCGAGGTGAGATCAAGATTTAAGGCGCCGCGGC